GTCCTTATGGCATCTACTTCTGTACAAGGGACGACGACATCCACGCTAAACAGTGGTCACGAGAATCCGGTGAGACGCCTACGTTAAATGATCCGCTCAGCGTCTAGAACCCCAGAACTCCCTAAATGGTAGCTTTTAGTATTTTTACCTTCCCAAGGAAACAGAGGCGGGAGAAAGCACAGGCCCTGGAGTCACCCCTCAGAGCCACGTGCTCTGCGGAAGGTTACCGCACGTTCAGTGTCTTCATCTGTAAAATAGGAATAACAGCATTTCTCCACCGGGTTGCTATGATGCTAAGATGTGATCATATTAGATGGGATAAAGGCACAATGTTTGGTCCCAAACACAGCTGTTGATGTCTTTTTTTCCCCTTAAGATATTTATTTATTTATTTATTTATTTATTTATTTATTTATTTTAATAGAAAGTGAGCATGTGCGAGTGGCAGGAGGGGCAGAGGGACAGGGACAAAATCTCGAGTAGAGTCTGTCCTGGGAACAGAGCCCAACCTGGGGCTTGAGGTCACGACCCTGAGACCATGTCTTGAGCCAAAATCGAGCGTCGGACGCTTAACCAACTGAGCCACCCAGGTGCCCCATGCTGCTGCTGATTTCTTTCTGCCTCTTCCCTGTGTCCTGCTGTTGAGAGACTAAAACGGGAAACAAGTGGGAAGGCCACGAAGGAGAAGACATTATACAAATCTAACACATAAGTGCTTCTCCCGCCGAGTAGGGAGCGATGGGGACCAGTGAAAAGATCAAAACGCAGGAACCAGTTTGTGGAAGCCGAGAATTCTGGGATTTGCTGACTCCAGGCCCTGGATCTTCAGCTCCTGGGAATCCAGTGGTGCTTTTCCACTTCCTCAGACATTCACGCCCGAATACTCCGGAAAGAGCAGGATCTCTGGAAGCGGGCCGCGGTTCAACGTCCTGACTCAACCGTTACGAGGAGGAAGACCTGGGGCAGTTGCTCCCACCATCCTGCCCCTCAGCTTCCTCACCTGCAAAACTGGGATGAGACCTTCCTCAGAGAGTGGCTGTGGAAGTGCCCAGCAGGAACGCTGGCACACGGCAGACGCTCCCTAAGTCACTGTCATTTTTCGTCTTCACAGGCCAACATTCCTATTGGGGCTGAGTGTTTATTTATTTGTTATCTGGAGGAGACACAGATCAAGTGCCGTGATTCGAGATGCCCCGAGAGTCCTAATTTCGAGCATCGTTATTCCATTGTCGGACTCTATCTCTGGCTACAGGTTCCCACTGTCCTGAGAGTAAAATAGCGTGGCCCTCGAGGCCGCGCAAGATTTAGCCTCCGCCTCCTCCTCACTTCATCATCTGGCGTCCCCCACTTCAGCAGCGCTCTTCTTTCATTCTGCTATGCTCCATCATAGGGCTGCGCTCTGCCAAGAATGTTCTATCCATGCTCCTCCAGCAGAGGCTTGATTTCATCCCTCAGGTCATGTCTTCAAAGGGGCCTGGGTCTTTGTCAATCCCTTTGCTCTTAATTTTGGTAGTTGGTTACAACCTTTATACCACTTTTCACAATTTTATTTTATTTTATTTTAATTTATTTATTTATGATAGTCACACACACCCACAGAGAGAGAGAGAGAGAGAGAGAGAGAGAGAGAGGCAGAGACACAGGCAGAGGGAGAAGCAGGCTCCATGCACCGGGAGCCCGATATGGGATTCGATCCCGGGTCTCCAGGATCGCGCCCTGAGCCAAAGGCAGGTGCCAAACCGCTGCGCCACCCAGGGATCCCCACTTTTCACAATTTTAAATATATATGTTTATTTATTTACTGGTTTTTATATGTCCCTTCCCACTAGATTATATAAGCTCCACTAGGACAGGGTCTCTATCGCTTTCCTTACAGCTGAATGGCAAGAGTGTGCCATAGAAGGTTTTCAATGAGTACTGGATAAAAAAGCAAATATTGGCTCTTCCATCTTGATTTGGGATTTAAACATAGGTCATTATGGGCTAAAAACCTTAAGAACCATCTGAGCCTGTTGAGAGTTGTTCTGTACTCCTATTTGGGATAATTAAGCCCAGCCCTATCTTATTATGAGAAAATAACCAGCCACAAAACAACATCCATGGGAACAAGCTGGACTAGATGCTTCAGATGGGTGGGGGGAGGGGAGGAACAGGAGCTTTCTTTTCAGTATCCAGAGGAGAAATGAACCTACTTCTTAAAAATAGCCAACTTTAGGCCATAATTATTTCTGTCTGACTTGAGAAAGACGAGCCCTGCTGCGCTTTGTCCCTGTTTCTCTGTCCAAGCAAACGAATTAACGACGGCCATAAACATGGGTTTCAAGTGCTGGAAGGATCAAAACCACGAGTATAACTCCCAGATAAAAGCTCGTAAGAATGTTATCATTCAGCTCAAGTTTGGAGACTGGAATCTCAAATTATTATTTTTTTTCCAGTTTTTGAGAGACCACTTTGCTGAAATTCCTTAAACATCATTGGAGTTATTTCCATTTGGGGGGGTGGGAAGAGCTTTCCAAACATCTGGGCTCAGGTCGAGCTGGAGTTGCTAAGGAAGAAATATTCACACCAGTGTATGGAGATAAAATGATTCTAATTATTGGGTAGGAACTGCCTTTTGACTGATGTGGGGACACGGCTCATAGAACCTTTGAACAGGTAAGGGTTGTCCCTGTTCAGGTTCCCGCCATCTGAAGGCAAGACTGTGCACTAGCCTCAGGCTGCAGGAGGCTCCTGCCTCATTTTTCTTATTTCATACGTGACTCTGCCATCAGATTCTCTTCTTAAACATCACTACTTAGATGTTCCAAAGTTTTCAGTGATGATACCCATGAAGTTGGAATCAAAACCCATTCAAGGGTCTTATCAGTTTGGTTCCAGACCGATGTCTAATTACTCCTGATCCTTTACCCAAACTCCCCCCACAGACGGATGGGGATTATTATTATTCTCCTTGGAGTATGCTTTTCCCTTTTCCTGCTCTTGAGCTGGGGTCATGTCATCTCTTCCCTGGTGCTACTCTTCACTCCACCTTGGTCTTTTATGGATTCAGGTCTGTCCCACTTTCTCATGAAGGCTCCAGCCCACAATAATCTACCTCTGAGCTTCATGATCAGCCCCAGATCATGTTTTGCACCATTGTTTTATATGGTTATAGCCATTCTTATTGTTTACATTGTCAAGTATGCCACACACTGCTCCCAGAAATTATTTGGAGCAAGGGTCCCTCCCCCTGAGGATCTGATAATTCTCATTCTTTCTCTCTCTCTCTCTATAATTGCCACTCTCTGGTGAAAGCAGTCTGAGTTGGTTTCTGTCTCTTGCAAACAAACACATCTTGAATAAGATGACCCATCATCTATGCATATTTAGGTAGGAGTTCCTAAACTGAAGTGAGATTAGTTTTCACAATTCTGAAAACGTAAGGTCACATATATCAACGTTCTGAAAGTGCACCTGGGACATTTACTCTATGACAACAACAACAACAAAACAGATTTAAAAGATGCAGATTCCTGGGCACCATCTCCTACTGTCTGGAATAGAGTCTCTTGGTGATGGGGCCTGGGAACTGGTATTGTAAACAAGGTTCCCAGGTGATTTTTAAGTATATTGAAGAAAATCTAGAGGATTGGGGAAAACTGATATTAATGTCCATTATATGATGGGGAAGGAAAGTAAAAGAGGAAGTAATTCAGATGTCTTGAGTGTCTATTATGTGCCTGGAAGGATATTAGGTAATTTCACCAGTGTTACCTCTTATAATCCTCAAACAGGGCTGTGATGTGAGTCTTACTATCAGTCCCTTTTACAAATGAGGAAACAAGTGAGATAACTCATCCGAGGATCTAAAAATGGTTAAGTCGTTGGGCCAGCACTTAAATTCTGGGATGAGAATTCTTCACTACAAAAGTTCTTCTCACGCTGCAAGGGGTCTTAGCAAAACCTTGGAGGGAGGGAGAGGGGGCATGAAGGTACAGCCACATTGGAGGTTTCCTAGGTCAGCCGGGGGAGGCTGGGCAGATGCTGGTTCTGGCTGGTAACCCCTGGGTTAAGACTCCCTTGACATCTGAAGGGGATAATGTCCTCTGAGCTCTAACTTTGCATCCTGAACCCTGAGTCTGGAGCCTCCTGAGCTTCTACTGGCGAAACTACAGGCCGTCTGCCTAATCACAAAACCTGAAGGTAAAGGAGACAATGCTCCTGGACCTCAGTACAGGTGCGGCACACATACGGCCTTCTGGCTGGAGCTTTATTTAAAGACCGGCATCATCTTATAATCCAGCTGGACCAAGAGCCTGGCCTATGTATGGAAGGTGGAAAAGAGAGGCAATGGAAGCCAGTATCCTGCTCACTCATAGGAAACGGGGGCAAAAAAACAAAAAAACAAAAAACCCATTTGTGTGGGAAGGATTGTTCCATCCACCCCAGTTTGGGGTGGAAAGAAGGGATGGTGACTGCAAACCCCAGAGAACAATGAAGTCCTCATATTTGGGGACTGTAGGTCTAAAGCTGTGGTTCCAGTAAAGTCACCTGGGAAGACCTTGAAAATCCTGCTCCAGATGACCCCAAAAGGCAGCCAAGGTAAAGAACCGTTGGTTGAAAGTCCCTCTGATGGTCAAGAGAAACAGATTGAACCTGCAAATGCTCTAGAAGGCAGCTTGCATTCAGTCACGGTTGGGAAAGCTAAGGTCAAGTGCACACCGTCCACTGGTGTTTCCAGTATGAGAACCGGAGCCACCTGAAGCTTGGCTTGCTGCTACAGCAGGGTCCCCTGCCATGTTTAGTTTACCTTGTAGGGTAAAGTTGGCACAGGGAGAATGAAAATAACAAACATGTGAGAGGCAGGAGGGAGAAGTGAGAAAGGGCAGATAACAAAGATACAGGAAGGAATGTTGTCTCCAGCAGAGAACACCAGCCTGGGGGGGGGGGGGTGGCGCTGGGGACCTTTTAGTGGATCGGGGGGCAGAGAGTGCTCTCTTTAGAAGAAGCGCTCTACTCACCGAGTGGATGATGCCTTGCAGGGCCTGAAAGCCGTCATTCACAGGAAACACGTGGTCCTTACTGTCCGCGATCCGGGCCAGCTGAGAACACAGCGAACACACAAACACACATGGCGATGTGTCAGGCTTGGCCGCAGAGCATTTAGGTCCAGGGGGCTCCATCTACTTTGAGAACCCAGAGGAACTTGAGAGGCCTTGGGCCTCACTGAAGAGCCCTCAGTTATAATGAGCTTACCAGCGGCCTCTGGAGCAGGCCTAGAGGGTCGGCTCCAGCTTTCACATTTGTTTTAATACTTTTCTCCTTGGGAGCAGAGGTAAGATTGCTCAGATGAACAGTTGGCCTGGGTTGATGTATTTATGGATTTGGGGGCAGGCCATTGGCTCATTTTTCTCCCATTCACTCAAATTTCTGTTGGCAACTGTATTTGAATCAAACAGGCTCAGGTTTCCTTTCAGAGCGAGTTTAAAAATAAATTTAAGCTTTGGTGTTGGGCGAGGCCAGTGAATGGAGACCCTTACCTTTCGCTCAAATTGTTCATTGAGGCGAGGGCTCTTGCAATTGGTTTGGCTCTCCTGCTTTATGGAGCCGGGGACAGGAGAAAGAAGAATCTGATCTGTGGACTTTTCTACTCCAAATCTCTATATTTCTGTGACTGCCACAGTCATGGTCAATGCCAGGACTTTCACCGATTGCAAAAGTAACACATAATCAATGGGAAGTTTCAGAAAACCCAGGAGTTTTAAAAAGAAAACTCATCTATCTATCATCCATCATTTTTTCTATTATTAATTTGATATCCTATGTAGCCTTTTGTACTTTCCCTACCCAAATATACACATTTATTATAAACATGGACTCAGACTGTTCCCGTTTTGTAACCCTATTTTATTCACTCAATAACATAAGCACTGTCTCATATCATTAAAACAAAAAGGAATTATGAACTACACTGAGGAGCGTTTATATAGGTTGTTAGCAAAATTCCACAATTTGCATATCTATACTTGAACATACTTTCTGCCCACTTGCCAATTATGATTCACCCTTGAACCACATGGGTTTGGACTAAGCGGGTCCGCCTACACACAGATTTTTTAAAATAAATACAATATAATACCGTAAATGTACTTTCTCTTCCTTATGATTTTCTTAATAACATTTTCTTTTGTCTAGCTTACTTTGTTATAAGAATGCAGTATATAATGCATATAACATACAAAATATGCGCTAATCAACTGTTTATGTTATTTCCAGTCAACAGTAGGCCATTAATAGTTCAGTTTTTTTTAAAAAAAAAAAAATAGTTCAGTTTTTGGGGAGTCAAAAGCTGTCCGTGGATTTTCGACTGTGCAGAGGTGCTGATACCCCTAAGCCCTGCACTGTTCAAGGGCTAACTATATATTTATTTTTTTATTGAAAATGCACTGAATTTCTAATAGGAGAAAAGGGATGTTTGACATTTAAGCAAAATTTGATTCATTAAATGAAATGACAAAAAAAAAAAAAAAGTCAAGTTTTCTAATTTTATTCAGATCTGTTTTGACACCTTGGCCATTTGACATCTACCAAGGAAGATACCACCTGGATAGTCTGTGTTCATGGCCCCCAAGTGCATTGGCTTGGCTTCATGTCCCTTACATATTCAATAATTCTTGAATACTCAACGTTTATAGAAAAAAAACCTATTTCAGGGGTGTGTCAGGGATATTGCCCCGAATACGCATGTTCTCTATCATTCGCAAGCTTCGTATGCTTCCAAAGCTGAGGAAATCCATGACCATACCTGTGTTTCATTGAAATCCTTCACACCGACACAGTAAACAATCGCACCAAGATCTCGGGATCTGTTAGCCTGGGTCAAGGAAGAAAAGCCATTAGACAGAGGAGTGGCGAATATACTCCTTTTGGATTAACCAGACTAACTTCCATGATCAGGTTCTTATTGAGCACCTACTATGTGCCAAGCACCATAATGGAGAGGGCAATCCCTGTTCCCAAGGAGCTCACCCTCCTGGAAACATCACATTCTAACACGATGTATGAGGGACCCGAGGGGAGTGAGTAGCCTAACGGGAAGTGTTGAGAAAGACCCATAGAAGTAGAGTCTTAATGAAGGGATTTGAAAGATGAGGGGAAGAAAAGGGAAAAGTAGGCCAGGATAAGTCTTATTAAATATTGGTGCGGGGAGGCGGGGGGCGCCTGGGTGGCTCGGTGGGTTTGGAATCCAACTCGTGATTTCGGCTCCAGTCATGGATCTCAGGGTCCTGACATCAAGCCTGCTTGGGGTTCCTTCACTTTCCCTCTCTCTTCCCCTCCTTGCTCTCTCTCTAAAATAAAAATGAATAAAATCTTTAAAGAAAATATTCTGGGGGAAATGATTATTCTATTCCTCTGAAGAATTTTTATTGACATACTTTTCTTCCTTCGTAATAGCAGCAAAGTGTAATAGAAAAGATGGGGCCTTTGGGACCCAAAGTACCTGGGTTTGGCTTTGCTCTGTAAAGGTCGAGGATTCAGTGAGATAACATATTCAGAGCTCCTTATACAAGGCCTAGAACGATGCGGAAGCTTATAAATATCAGCACCCCTTTGCGAATAAGGCTTTTTCAGCCCCACAGAAAACAATGGTTTAGCGGTATGGGAATTATGGTCTCTATTTGAGTAAGCGAACCAATGACCTGCCCTACAATGAAGGATTAAGAAGGCAACATAATGAATAACATCTAGGTTTTGGCTTGGTTTTAATATTTGACTTATTAAAGGCTCTGATATCTTATTTCCAGGTTCTTCCATGTTTCAGAACAGAAAACTAAAATTGGAAATCATTGGAATATATGGTAGACATTTAATAAATGAGTGCAAACATGTAGTAGGTGCTCTATGTATGCATATTGATTTGAATTGTTTCTCCCCCACCCCTCACTTTAGTACTCAAACGCACTTGTGACTGAGACTGAAACATTCTGAAACACTGAATTTTAGAAGAAACAGAAATATATATATATATATATATTTCCCTAAATCCTAAAAATCTGCCCTGCTGTTTTAAGGACAAGACAAACTTCTAGGCACAATCGAGCTCCAGCCTTATCTGTAATGACTTCTGTGACTCTCCCTCTAGTTAGGCTTTATATAGGATTATCAAAAATGGAAAGATTCATTTCTTTATATATCTTGTATATATCTTTATATATCTTGAGTGTTAGCTTTCTTTGTCAGAAAGCCCCCTTCTCTTGGCACTGGCACTCCAAATGCTTTTCCAAGTTTGTATGTGCCATACCTAAAATTCTTTTCTACTAACCCATATTTTAAGCCTCTGACATCCATCATTTATTTCATATTCAGTTATTTCCTTATTAGGATCTTTATTCGACTGTTGCTCAGCACCCAAAATAAGCTATGTTGCATTCCCATCATATAGTCAGTCAGTCTCAACTCTAGAATATGGGAATATAGGGTTTTCCCAATGCTCACGCAGGGTCTGTCACATTGAAGTTTGTGTTTCCCCACTGAGAACGATTTGTACTCGTTAGGGGTAGGGGAGAAGCCGCCTGTCTACCTATATCATTTTCTCACGCCCTTTGCCAGCATCATTCCACCATCCACGGTAAGCACCACGGACGCAGCCAGCGTGTCTTCCTCACCTGCTTCCCTGGTATCAGGCAACGTGCCCAGCACATGCTGAGCTCTCATCTAACACTGAATGAATGAATGAGTGAATGAATGAATACTTGTTTGCCAAGGGAGCTGAATTTAAATGAAATACTACTCAAGAGCTGGAGGTGAGTATAACGCGCTGGTTACCTCCTCCCCTGGGGCCAGCATCTCCTTCCTCGCCGCCCGTCCCTTCCCTTACTGTGCTTCTTTCTAACGTGGCCCCAATGAGCCTTTGTCGTGTCATCAGTAGTGGTGAACTGGCCCAAATGTCAGACTAGAAAGGAAAGGATTTCCTAAATATAAACACTACCTTTCAATTCCTAAATAAACCTCTTTTTCTGAAACTATACAAACCGAAAGCTTCACGTAGAGAGAATTCCTTCACTTGCTGCGAGGAGTGTTCTATCTGAGACCATGAAGAAAAGGAAGAAGGCGCACCGCAGGCGTGATTACAAGTTATCTTGCTACCAATTAATATTCAGCTTTGATTCTCAGGGTGAGAATCTCGGTGATTAATACGTTCGGACAAGGCTGGCTCTTACATAGTTCAAGTAACTCTTTCCCCTTCTCCTGTCCATAGCAGAAATGGAGGAAAAACGGCCCCAATGTTTTCGTTGAAAAGTGATATATGCTATTTCAAAACTGCTAGACAAATAGAGCGCTCTCAATAAAGTCATGGTAGGCAACTTCTATCCCTTAAGACACAGAGTCACGGGCAAATAGTTTGAAAGGGGGAGAAACATCTACCGTGTGGAAGACGTGAGAGTTTGCTTTTAAAAAAATGAATTATTATCATTTTTTTTTTCCATAGGAGACACTATTTTACCCAGGGGTTTTACAAAGAACACCTAGCACGTTGTCTGAGTAGCAAGATTGCAGCCCATTTTCGGAGAAAGGAGCCCTGCTTCCAAGTCTGTGTTAGATACAGGCCAGGCCATCGCTTACCTCCCTCTCTGAATAGAAAAAGAGGTCTTCATGGAGCTCCCCATCGGTCAAAGCAATGATGACGCTGGCCGTCCTGTATCCTGCTCAACACAACACAGACCCACTCAGTCCATCGTGCCGCACTCGGGGAAACCCCCTCTCAAGTCCTGGGTGTTGATGTCTCGTAAGCTCAACCCCCCGAGGTCAATATTATGAAAACCAGCAACTTTTCTTTGGGGACTAGAAGCACCTCCAGATGAAGGAGGATGCATCTGTGGGGACAGACTCTGGGGGGGAGTAGGTATTGTTTGCGGGTTTCTCAGTCTTCTCTCAAAAAATGGCCAAACCTGCTGGAAGGGTCATTGGACCGACAGCTGGGAGTAGATCCAGTGAATCAAATTTCTGTGATTTTCTGTTAACAGTCTGGGTGACTGAGGTTGAGGCCTGGGGGGAGACTCTACTACCTGGGCTGTTCAGGAGTCCTCCTCACAGGCCGTAGTTGACCATACACATCCCCCTTGGAGGACTGAGCAAGGACAGAGTCACCACGATTTACCAGCTGATTGGAAGTTATTAAACCAGCTGGGAAAACCTTCTAGAAACTCTTCCAGTGATTTTTTAGAATTCTAGGAACATTGCTGATGGTTGGTTGGTATTAATAAGCATTAGTGTCCATACTGGGTCTGTTCTATTTGCTGGAGTTGAGAGGACATGGGCAGTAGACCTCTATGGGCCCAGGAGAAAAATCCTCACTATAATACGGAATCTCTTCAAAAGATTTGCCTCAGGGACGCCTGGATGCTCAGCGGTTGAGCACCTGCCTTCAGCCCAGGGCGTGATCCTGGAGCCCCAGGATCGAGTCCCACGTCGAGCTCCCTGCATGGAGCCTGCTTCCCCCTCTGCCTGTGTCCCTGCCCTCTCTCTCTCTGCGTCTCTCAGGGATCATCAATAAAATATTTTTTTAAAAGATTTGCCTCGAATAAAGAGAGGCTATCCATGAGAGACGCTGTAATAATAGTGAGAACAGCTGAACTTAAAATAAGAAGCATATTTTCTATATGCAAGTTCTCTGTGAAGTCCACTGTATGCATTTTTCCCTCCATTTAAATGCAGCAAACTTAAAACCGCACTGGTATCTTAATCTTAATATCGTCTCCAATCACAGTAATGAAGGGGCTTGGAGCTTGGGCAAGGACAAAAAAAATTAAATTCGACATGAAAATCCAAGACTTCACTAGCCCATCCAAATACTTATTAATTTAATGAATTCAACATGCAGAGCTGTTCACGGGCATTATAGGCCGTGGCCCATCATGGGCTCTTCATTACTTTTATGTAACTTTTTTTGGCATCAGCGGAACAGTAGGATTTGACCTGGTACGTGTCATCTATCCATTTCTTCTTGGCGACGAGGTGCGGAGGGTTATGGGCAACACCACCTACACCTTATGAAATGTGAAATTACCGAGGCGCTCTTTCAGAAGCAAACACAGGGGAAACAAAGTTTGACAATTCATACTATAGTCTTACCTTGACTGTTTTCATAATAAATCTGCTCGCTGGCCTGAAAAACACACGGGAGAGACATTAGCCCCGTAGCCACCGTCTGCGATCCCAGCTACCGTGGCGGGCGTTGGCCCGGCCTGGGTTTGTAGGCTGGTTCAGCCCTGATTCCTTATGTAATTGGCCCAGGCTGGGCTCGAATGTGGATCCACGGCATTCATCCGGGGTTACCCCGACATTTAACGAACACACATGTGAACATGGATCCATGCTTTACTTCTCACGGACTGGGACTTGTTTTCCTTAAGACTGATGTCACTGACATTCTGTCCCAACCACTCACGTCCCCTCTAGAAAGGTCTACCTTGGAAGTGCCGGGGGCCGGGGCGTGGCGCGATCCCTGCGTGTCGGCCACGCATTAGCTAACAAGCCCTGTATCGGTGTCTGGCAGGGAGCAAGGGCATTCACTTCTCTTGGTTAGGGTCACGCGTGCACAAGCTTGTGGGAAAATGGTTTTGACTTTCTTCCTCCTGGGCAAGTTACACGTGCCGTGTCTCCTTGGCCATCCTGGGGTTGACGTTTCCCTATCCCACTCTATTCAGAGTTGAAAACCATTTGAAAATTACCCTTTCAAATCCTTCATGCATGTAAGTGTCTCCTCCCGGCAGGACCTTCTGCAGCTCCTCTAGGCCCTGACGAATCTGTTCCCTGAAATCCAAAGACAGCCTGTTAGTCTCGGTAGAGCATTTTACACTTTGCTGTGCAAAGACGTGCGCGTTAATCTTTGTTGGTGGATCCTGCCATGATCCCCCACGATCCCCCAAGAGCCCATTAGAGGGACAGTCTTTGCGGTACATAATCCACTTAGGCCCAGCCACAGTGCAGGATACGTGAAATCTCAGGGGAAAGGACCCTTTTGCAGAATGTCCACCTGCAAGAGCTTTCCAACTCTTAACAGGACAAAGTTTTCTTTCTTTCCTTTTTCTTTTTTTTTATTTTTTATTTTTTATTTTTTATTTTTATGATAGTCACACAGAGAGAGAGAGAGAGAGGCTGAGACACAGGCAGAGGGAGAAGCAGGCTCCATGCACCGGGAGCCCGACGTGGGATTCGATCCCGGGTCTCCAGGATCGCGCCCTGGGCCAAAGGCAGGCACCAAACCGCTGCACCACCCAGGGATCCCTCTTTCCTTTTTCTTTTTAAAATTTTATGTATTCATTCATGAGAGACACAGAGAGAGGCAGAGACACAGGCAGAGGGAGACGCAGGCTCCATGCAGGGAGCCTGACGTGGGACTCGATCCTGGGACCCCGGGCTCACTCCCTGAGCCGAAGGCAGACGCTCCACTGCTGAGCCCCCCTGGTGCCCTCGAAGTTTTCATGCTACATTGGCAATGACTCCTAAAATCCAGCTGCTCCTGCAGGAGGACGCGACAACTCAGGCAACTTTATACCACAATGCAAACAGCCCTGGCGAGCCGGCAAGAGGCGAGGACCCAGAAGCCGGGGCAAGGCCACCACGAGGACCGATGGGGGTTGGGGCAGGGGCTGGAGGGAACTGTGCCACCCGCACTGATGTGTCGAAGGAAACCGAGTGGTCAGCTCTGAAAACCAGAGCTCGGGCCGGGCACGCTTTCCAGGACGCCGGCAGGGTTTCCTGTGGGCGGGCCTGTGTTTTCTTACTCGGTTGCTTGGGGTGGAGGCAGGAAGAGGAAGTGGGTCCTGGCACTGGGAGAGGCCCCGCTGGTGCTGGGAGATGCCAATGGTCTGGGGACCCAAGAGAATCTTGGTGGCCCGCTCCCTCTGGGACCTAAGATGTCACATGCACGTGCCTCCTTTTAAAGAGCTCCACAGCTCGCCCCCAAAGACAGTTAATTTCTGAAAAACATCAACCTCATTCATGACCCATGAGCCTATGGAAGCGTTTGCACTTACCTTTCTATCATGGGGGCGGGTGGGGGGCTCTGTAGTGACGGGGTGAGGAGGGGAGGCTGCTCGAGTAAGAAGCACCCAGCATTTCCTGGGCTTCTACTGAGCACAAGGCCCTGCTCCGGGAGCTTGGATTTGGGGTCAGGACGGCCGAGGCGCGCACGACTGCCCTCAGGCCAGGAGAGAAGTGTGGGTTCGGAGACACTAGGCAGGAGAGCAGAGACCTGAGCTCGGCCGAGCTGACTCTACTGTGCGCAGCAGCCCCTCCTCAGGTCAGTGCTGGGGGAGCGGGAGGCTTCCGGAACAACCGGTTCATGAGGACCGGGGCTCACGGCTCACTCCGTCTGAACGCTCCCATGTGCCCCGTTAGCAACAGCCACCTGTGACTGATCCACCCGGACCTCACGAGAGCTCTTGGAGGGAGTGTCCGTTTCACAGACAAGGAAACTGAGTCACAGAGTGGCTAAGGGACCCGCCCGAAGCCCCCCAACTATCTACTAAGTGGCAGCGGTTGAACTGGACCCCAGAGGCCCTGTTGCAATCACTGTGATAAACGGTTTCCCCTTGAATGAACGGGCAAAATTCGTGACTGTTTTATCCGAATAAACCCAAGGGTAACTGCTTGGTGGGGGGGGGGGGGGGGAGTCCAGCGCAAGGTTAACCTTCCATTAAAACTGATGTAATGGGGGGCGCCTGGGTGGCTCAGCCAATTAAGCGTCCACCTTCGGCTCAGGGTGTCACCCTGGGGTCCTGGGATCGAGCCCCCGAATCCGGCTCCCTGCTCAGCCCCTCTGTGCCCCTGCCCTGACTACTTGTGTTCTCTCTCTTTAATAAGTAAAATCTTTAAAAAAAAAAAAACCCAAAAAACAAACCAACTGATGTAATGGGGCAGCTGGACCGCCAAGTTGTTAGACGTTTTCAAAGACAAACTGAGGAGGGTTTCGCGTGAGCCCGTCCCCAGCCGGGGCTGCTGATGCTTCTCAAGCGCAGCGTTTCAGACCCAGTAGCTCAGGCTTTGGGACCGTCCTGACTGTGGCCTCCTTTTCCTGCCCGCGCCTCGACACCAGGCCTCGTGCCCAGCTGCCCATCAGGAACGGGAAGGCTTCCCGGACCCTCTGCCTTCACTGTCCCCTCTCCCTCCGCTCCCCCCCATAATCTGTCATCAAGTCCCCTAGGTCTACCCTAGGCTGCCCGGGAAGCCGGCGACTCCTCTCTCTCGCCCGCCAAGGCCGTGCCCGAGCCATCACCCCACCACCAGCTCCTGCTCGGGCCACTGAGGCAGTCGCTCGCTATCTCTGGACTGTCCTCTCACCCTCCTTCCATTCATCCTCCACGTGGCTGTCACAATGTTCCCAAAATACAGACCCAGACACATGCCCTTCACTCTCCCGCTCCGCAGCCCCCGACAGCAGTTGGCTACACCCCGTATACATCTGAAACCCTTGCCAGCCTTCCAGCGCCGACACGGGGTGGCTCGTCTGCCTCCCTGCCCGGCCTCACCTGTGCCACTCCGCCCCACTGTCATCACTGGAGCCCCGTGGGTCGTCTCCAACAGGCCCCTCACACCTGCCATCCCTGCCCCCGTGGCCTGGGGCTATCACTGCCCAACTCTTCACCTGGGGCTAACTCTCACCCGGCCTTCGATCCCAACCTAAATGCCAACTGGTTCAAGTAGCCTTACTTGACTTCCCCTAGTCGGACTAACTCCCTCAGTTAGACTTTCTCATGGCGCCCACCAAGTTGAGCTTCAGAGCACGTAGGACATTCTGTAACTCCTAACATTTGACTACGTGATGATTTGTTTGGCCATCCCCCGCACCCGATCTAGACTCTGAACTCCACGAGGGCTGGGCCGTGTCTGTTTGGGCCCGCGCTGTCTTCTGTGCCTACTACGCTACTTGGACTAGAACAAACAATCAATATTGACCGAAGGAGTTAATCATCCTAAGAAGAAGTCAGTCTTGGGGGCAGGGATGAGCTTCGCTTGGCCCCTTGGAGGGAGGCCAGCCAGAGGCCGACCTGACAATTGATCCTAGATCTGTGCCCATGTGGTGGTTAGAAACCATTCTGTGTGTTGTGCCTCTTTATATCACCCCCAACAACATTTCAATAAACCCTATCAAAAGGCGCGGTTTAATCTTCACTCTGTTGTTTGGTGACAAGAAAGGGTATACATATCTGTGCCTCAGAAGGAGGGATAGAGGCGAAAGCAGTGTCCCTCCCCGCCGCCACCCCTGGGAAGGGAGAGGCTGGCATTATCCGTCACCTGCCAGAGGGTGGCATTGCCCTGTGCATCAGCAGTTTCGAGAGGGTAATGACAGTGGCACGGTAGCAAGAGGCAGAGGCTGGAGAAGGAGGTCGGGACAGGGAAATGGGGGTCTGTTCCTGAGCACACGGGGGTGGCCCGGCGAACACTTTGGAATAGCTGGGCGCACTAAGGACGAGGGGGCTAATTTCCGACAATTAGGTGAGAAGAGACTGGGCGTTAAAAGTAAATGTAAAGAAGAAAAGCAAATGTGGCCTTATCTTTGCAAAGTTGGGACGTTTTGGCAGCACTGAAATTGGAATATTTTGTTGAGACTGAAGCTGAAAAGAAAAAAAGAGGGTTAAAAAAAGGCATATTGGGGGTGTGGTAAAGGTTCCTTGGCTTCCCTGTATTTTTTCTCTGCCAAATAAAGTCTGGGAACGGGGGTGTTTTCTCTAAGCCTATTTCCTTTTCTTTACAACTATTTTCTTGAGTTTTCTATTTTCTTGGTACCAGAACAAGCAAAGGCTGTTTTTTTGGAAAATATATTTCTGCTTGATATTTTGTGCCTGGCAACATAGGAACTCCCTAGTCCCAAGCAGTGCTCACAACCCTCTCCATATAGCACCCTTCTTCGTCAAAAGATCAAATGACTTATGGCCCCACCTCCCTACTCCCTGTCCCTTCTCTAAGCACCCACAACATCTAAGCAAACAAAACAGATGGTTTCATGGGAATGGTGGGTCTTTTTTAATTCTGGGACAACAGAACTATTAATAAAGGCCTTTTTTTTAATGCTCTCTTAGAAACAGAAGAAAACCAGGAGAAAGATCTTTTAAAGGGGGGGTGATAAGAACCTCTCTGAGGACTTGGTTATTACCAAATGAAATGTTATAATCCTGGGAAATGAGAGAGGCAGGGAATCCTACAAGGACGCTGTTAATAAAGAATCTCCTGTTTTCCTTGGTGGTTTCACATGTCTGCCAATGTTCCTACGTAGAAGTGAAGGGTTTTCAGGCCACAGGTCTTGTGTTTCTTGTACAATCCCTGTGAGACTTAGTGGTGGGCATAGAGTAGATAGTTTGTTGTTGAATTAATGATTCCAGCTTGGATGCATGCGTGCATCCACCCATTCATCTCCACAGCTGCTTACTAAGCAGGCACCGTGCCCCCAGCACTGCCCTGGTTTGTAGGGGTAGGGGGTGGGAGAACCGGTCACAGGGTCTGCTGGACTTTCGGTGGCCCTGGGAAATTTCCTACACTTCACGAAGATTACTTCCTGGGATTCTGGTTGTGATGTGACATTTTGATAATACTTGCTGATGAAAACATTAAAGGATGAACACACATAAGCATGTCAAGAAGCACTTCATTGGACAAGCTTTTCTCCTAAGTATCCTACTGATGTTTCTACTGTGAAATCCTCCTTGGGGTTGTGCAATGTCTACCACATTTTCAGCCTATAAAACAATCTCCACCGCCGCGGCCACCCCAGAATAACCCAACATCAGCTCTACATTGTCGACTTATTGCCT